ATCCCCATCTTCCAAAATACCCACCATTGTTCCGAGTCACACCTATGAGACCTAGCCATGAATCTGCGCAGGCTCAGAGAATATTGCCAACACCAAGTAGGAGGCCCCAGACATTCTCCATCCCCTTGGGCCCTGCTTTGCTTTCTAACCTTGGAGAGGGCACCGAGCAGACTTCCCCAAGGGAATAGCAGATAGAGAGAATACCCTGTTCCCTCAGAGCACAAGCGGCCCCAAGGAGGCCCAGTGAAGGAATTAAACCATTACAGGCTGGGAGAGGTCTCTGGACATATTACTCTGGGTAATGGTCTCTTGAAGTGAGGAGTCAGGCTGGAGCTGGGGACGAGAGGTGGGGACAAGTAAGAAATTTGAAGCAGTGTTGGAAAACCTGTTGAGCATGTGGGCTGCTCCTCCCTGTTCTCCTTGGCTTCCTGCAGCAGAGGTGAGGGGATGATCTAAGGAGGCTGGGACCTTTAGCTAAAGTGCAAATTCTGAATAAATTTGCAGACATGGCACGGACACATCTGCATCTGGAGAGAAAACATCTGGACATAGCAAACAACCAGGACTAGAGTTTCCATTCACAGTCCACACCTACCAGGCATGCCTTCCGCGTTGTCCACCATCTGAGAACAGTGAGTTCCAAAGGGTCCATGTCAAAATCATTTTAAGTGTTTTGATATCAGTGAATCAGGAAGGGATTACCCGTGTGTCATTGTCAAAATGAGCCCAACGAAGATGAGTGCTATCTATGTGTACAAAAAGGAACGGGTGGTCACCATGACTAAGTCTCCGGTTTTCACATGTTTGGTTAACCTAAGTGCAGAACAGGCAGACTTCCAAAATTTGACCGTGACTGGTCGCTTAACTTTATCAAAATATTTTCTTCTGACTTGTAATATAAATCACTAACTTTGGGGGTAGGGGTGCTGATCCCCGCCAGGCACTGTGCTTTTTACATGTTCACTGAGCCAACAATGCTGTGAGACAGATTCTCCCATTATCTCTACTTTATGAATGGAGAGACTGTGTCACAGAGAGGTTAACTTACTTGCCCTGAACCACTTGCCTGATAAGGACAGGACCCCATATGTAGAAAGTGGGCCAGAGCTATGCCCTTTGTCTCCATGCTGTATGAGCTCTGTAACAGGAAGGCATTTCCTCTCTTCAGGGAGAAGCCAAGAGACCTGGGTTCCATTCTTGACTCTACCAATTCAAATGGTCATGATAATTAAGGTCCAGCTTCCCAGCAGCCCTCAATTTCCCTCTTCTTGAAAATGAGGGGGTTGGGGGCACCTGGGTGGCTTAGTCGGTTGAGTTTCCACCTTCCACTCAGGTCATGATCTTATGGTTCATGAGTTCAAGCCCCCATTGGGCTCTCTGCTGTCAGCACAGAGCCCACTTCAGATTCTTTGTCCCTCTCGCTCTCTTTGCCCCTCCCCCACTCACGCTCTTTCTCTCAAAAATAAACATTTAAAAACTACAAAAAAATAAAATGAGGGGATTGGACTACATGATCTCTAAGAGTTTCTCCCGTACAGATTCCCTGTGAGTCTGTTTCAATGCAGGGGCGCCTGGATGGCTCAGTCAGAGTCCAACTCTTGATTTTGGCTCAGGTCATGATCTCACAGTTGTGAGATTGAGCCCCAAGTCCAGCCCTCTCTTTGCAGCTCTCTCTCTCTCTCTCTCTCTCTCTCTCAATATAAATAAGTAAACATTAAAACAATTAAAGTTGATGCAGTAAGAAATCAAGGGGCACCTTCCAGAAGAGAAGGCTCCTGTCATTCCTGGCTGGTCTCTGCCCCACCAGCAGTGAATTAAGTGGAGTGCCGCTCTTTAGACAGCCACTTGACGTCCTTTGCATTTCTTCCTTACATCTGTTCAGAATCCAAAATGACCATCTAGGCATTCTTTCATTCTGCAAATATTTATCAAGGGACTATTATGTTCCAGGCAGCACGCCAGGGAGGGTGGTGTAACAAAGAACCAGACACGGTCTTCATACTTGGGCAGGTCACAGTCTAGCAGGGAAGACAGTGTTGTAAATACTAAGATTCAGCTCCAATTCATACTGTGTGTGCAGGAGGAGGTCCAAAAGAATGTGCTACTGGAGGCTAGAGGGTGAGGACCTCCCACTAGCACTAACAGACAGGGAGAATGGATGATTTAGGCAGATGGAATAAGAAATGCTTGAGTCAAGAAGAAGCAAAAAATGCCTTACAGTTGGAGTGTGAAATGGGCGAAGGCTAGGAGGGAGGCAGGAGATGAGCCACAGAGCCCCAGGAGCTACCTCACAGAAGCTCAGTAAGCCACATGAAGGAATTGGCCTTCAGTCTGTGGGTAATAAGGAGGCTTATGCAGCAGGAAAGTGTCTGTCATGGGTTGAATTGCGTCCCTGAAAAAACATACACTGGAGTCCTAATATCCAATACCTCAGAATGTGACCTTATTTGGAGATAGGGTCTTTACAGAGGTAATCAGGTTAAAATGAAGTTATTAGGATGGATCTTAATCCAATATGACTGATGTCATCATGAAAAGGGGACATTTGGACACAGGAACACACATCATAAGGGAAAACAATGTGAAGAGACCAAGAGAGAAGACCAATATCCACAAACCAAAGAGAGAGGTATGGGACAGACCCCTCACAGCCCCAGAAGGAGCCAACCCTGCCAACAACTTGATGGTGGACTTCTAGCCTCCAGAACTGAGACAAAAGATATTTCCATGGTTTTAAGCCACACAGTTTGTGGTACTTTATTACAGAAGCCCTAGAAAGCTAACCCAGACTTTAGCCTGAAGAGTCAGGTGATCACATTTTTACTATTAAAAGAACACTGTGGCTTCAGTGCAGAGAATGGATGGCAGAGGGGGTGTCAGAGGGGCTGTGGGAACCAAGTACATCATGGGGACAATACTGCAATAATCTAGGCAGGAATGATGGCTTTTCACCAGAGTGGGGAGATGAAAAATGTTGCAAGATTCAAGAGATATTTATGAGGTAAAACATGGGAGATCCCTAGAGAAACAAAGCCCATGCTGATGGGCACTAGACAGAAAAAAAAATGGAAAAATGATTGTGATTCCAGCAACACAGTCTTCCTGCATGCTTCTAGCCCCAGCCCCCTCTGTTGTCACAGACAGAAGACCTTCCCTTCCCCCTCTGTATTTGGTCTAGCCCTGCCTCTCCTTCCCAGCCACCAGCTTCTTCTTTATCAGACATTTCCCAGTCACCCCCAAAATGTTTATTGAGCTTGTGGCTTACAAACTGCTTCCACATGCATCTTCCTCACTTTTCTCTTGAGAACAGGCTTTATTTTGTCTTATGTATGAGGAGAGCAAAACAGAACAGGGAAGGGATTTTGCCAAAGACACATTGTGATTAGTAGGGCCAAAATTCAAACCCACAGCTTCTTTCTCTGCATCCCAAGTTTGTTTTCCTGTGCCCTGCCATAGCTCCATGAACACAGCCCCAGTCAACACTGGATTTGAAGGAGGCCCTGTCTCCAGCAATTACAGTAAAGGACTCCATGCAACATTGATTTTGAAAGTGGATCAGTTACTGGAAAAAGGATGTTAAGGTAGAAAATTTCTACAGTGAAAAATTACACCCCAGCCCATTTGTTTTTGGCATAAATTTGTTGAAGCTTTGTTAAAGTGTGAGGAGGTAGCGTTTGGTGTTTAAGACCATCCTTGTTGGGATCCAGGCTTTGGCCCTTGTGGGCTGCATGATCTTGAGAAAAGTATTCAACACTTTAACCTCAATTTTCTTATCTGTTAAAAGGGAATGCTGTTGAGAGCCAGCTCAGAGTTGTTTTGAGTAATGTACATATTTAGTTCAGTGCCTTATACATAGCAAAGACTTGATATGTTTTAGGCATACCTGTTATTATTTGCCTTAATTGCATACTCATTAAGATCCTAAAAGCACACAAAAATAGTTCTCTCTTAAAGTCTCACAAACTCAGGTGAAGGGTGGTCAAACAGTGAAAAATCAAAGGCTGAGAGATTTGCCAAGAAACACAGACTAATTGCTTTCAAGAGCATCCCCGAACACCTGACAGACAAGAGGATTTTGGCAGGAAGTAAAGAATTAAATAAAGCAAGTGGAGAAGGGTAAAGTAAAGGTGAGGCGAGAAGGTATTTACTGTCCCCATATTACAGGTGAGGACATCGAGAATCAAAGTTAGGTAATCAGTCCAAGACCACACACCCAGAAAATGAAGGAGCTGATTTCAAAATGTGTGCTCTTAGAAAAAATGAAATATGGCCCTTTGTAGCAACGTGGATGGAACTGGAGAGTGTGATGCTAAGTGAAATAAGCCATACAGAGAAAGACAGATACCATATGGTTTCACTCTTATGTGGATCCTGAGAAACTTGACAGGAACCCATGGGGGAGGGGAAGGAAAAAAAAAAAAAAGAGGTTAGAGTGGGAGAGAGCCAAAGCATAAGAGACTGTTGAGAACTGAGAGAAAACTGAGGGTTGATGGGGGGTGGGAGGGAGGAGAGGGTGGGTGATGGGTATTGAGGAGGGCACCTTTTGGGATGAGCACTCGGTGTTGTATGGAAACCGATTTGACAATAAATTTCATATATAAAAAAAACAAAAAAAAAAAAAACAAAAACAAAAACAAAATGTGTGCTCTTAGCAGAGACACCACACTAAGCTCATTGCTTTCCAGTGCACCTGTCACTACACCTGTAGCATTTTATTGTGCTTATTTGTTTAAAAAGTTCTTCTCTACTAGACTATAACCACCTTAAGATTAGGAATCAAGAATGACTCATCTTTGTACTCTCAGTACAAAGTTCAGTCCTAAGCAATTGAGTTCCCAGTGAGCATTTAATGCAACGGTGTTGAATAATTGTGAAGCCATAAACCCCCAGTGTCTAAGAGTGTTCTAATAAATAGGTTCACATATAATAGAGGGTTTTTTTTTTTGCCAGCTTTTAATGAAATGTTGTCTCTGAAATGTTGACAATAAACACTGTGCGCCTATGTCAGCATTCATATTTACCTGTTTCACTTAGGTATTTGGGGTTTTTTGTTGTCGTTTATTTACTTTGTTTTGTTTGCAAGGAGGGTAGAGAGATGAACCTCAACCTGACATATCTGAATAAGCATTTATGGGGAGCTAGAGAAACATGCATCACTGAGGTCCACCAAGGATTCTTTCTGAAAGGAAATCCTTTCTCTGATGTACCTGCATTTAACACAGGTTAAACTTTTGTATTGTTCAACTCCTTTTTGTGGAAGGGAAGGAAGACAGAATCATGGGCAATTTATAGGAATTCTTGGGGAGATAGGAATAAATTGGAACTTGTTGAATTGAAAGTTCTGGAATTTTCCATATTCACTGGTACATGCAGGATTATGGAGACGGTCAATCAAACCGGCAGTGTCTCTGAGTTCATCCTCTTGGGACTGTCCTCCCAGCCTGAGGACCAGAAGCCACTTTTTGCCCTGTTCTTCATCATGTACATGGTCACTCTGGTAGGAAACCTGCTCATCATCCTGGCCATCCGCTCTGACACTCAACTCCAGACAGCTATGTATTTTTTCCTCAGCATCTTATCCTTCATTGATGTTTGCTACACAACAACCATCATTCCCAAGATGCTGGTGAACTTCCTGTCAGAGAAGAAGTCCATCTCCTACGCTGAGTGTATGACCCAGATGTATTTCTTCTTGGCTTTTGCCAACACAGAAAGTTATCTCCTGGCTGCCATGGCCATTGACCGCTTTGTGGCCATCTGTGACCCATTCCACTATGTCACCACCATGAGCCACCGCCGCTGCGTCCTGCTGCTGGCCTTCTCCTGCTCCATCTCTGACCTCCATTCCCTGTTACTAGTTCTTCTGATAAACCGTCTCACCTTCTGTGACTCCAATGTTATCCCCCACTTCCTCTGTGACATCAACCCTCTGCTGAAATTGTCCTGCTCCCCCACATTTGTCAATGAAATTGTAATTAACACAGAAGGATTGATAACCCTGGTGACCCCCTTTATGTGTGTTGTCATCTCTTATGTCCGGATCCTCATTGCTGTTCTTAAGATCCCTTCAGCTGCGGGGAAGCGTAAAGCTTTCTCTACCTGTGGCTCCCACCTCACCATGGTGACCCTCTTTTATGGAAGCATTATTTATGTTTATTTCCGACCCCTGTCTAGCTATACCATCAAGGACAGGGTGGCAACAGTCATCTATACAGTTCTGTCCTCCATGCTGAACCCTTTTATCTATAGTCTGAGGAACAAAGACATGAAGCAAGGCCTGAGGAAGCTGATGGGCAGGAGGTCCCAGGCAGCACTTTCGTGAGCACACTCAGAAGCAGGTCTTCTTTGAGCCTTCATTTCTGCTGATTCCTGGTCTACATACCAAGCTGCTAGAAGTTAGCATACCTAAACTGAGTGTTCGTGGGAAATTGTATAAGTGACCAGACTAGAATATTATATACCAAGTCTTATATATTCATAATATTTTATATTTATCTTACAGTATAATAATAGTAATAATAATAATAATAATAATAATAATATATCTTATCATATACCCACCAATCAAAGCCACCTCATTAGGGCCACCTAACTGACCCAGGGTCTTTGCACCCATTTCTCATTTTCTTACTCCCATTCCCTTTTCCTATCCACTCTTTCCAAGTGCAACTAAAAATTTCTCACTAATTTTTCTTGACTAGATTTCTCCTTGTCAATAACTCTGAATTCCCAGGGTGCCTGAGTGGCTCAGTCAGTTAAGCGTCTGACTTGATCTTGGCTCAGGTCGTGATCTCACCATTTGTGAGATCGAGCCCTATGTCAGGCTCTGTGCTCACAGTTTGGAGCCTGCTTGGGATTCTCTCTCTCTCTCTCTCTCTCTCTCTCTCTCTCTCTCTCTTTCTGTGTGTGTGTGTGTGTGTGTGTGTGTGTCTGTATATCTTAAAATAAATAAATAAACATTTAACAAAAAAACCTGAGCTCCCAGTATCCTTATGTAATTTAAGAAACATCTTCAATTGGATATGGTACATACATACAATGGAATATTACTCAGCCATAAAAAAGAATGAACTCTTGCCATTTGCAATGATGTGGATGCAGCTAGATAGTATAATGCTAAGTGAAAGAAGTCAGTCAGAGAAAGATACCATATGATTTCACTCATAGGTGGAATTTAAGAAACACAACAAACAAGCAAAAAGAAAAACAGAAAAAGAGAGAAAGACAAAGCAAGAAACAGACTTTTAACTATAGAGAACAAACTGATGGTTACAAGAGGGGGGTTGGTGGGGAATGGGTTAAATAGGTGATGGGGACTAAGGAGTGCTCTTGTGATGAATCACTATGGAAGTGCTGAATCACTATGTTGTACACCTGAAACAAATATTACACTGTATGTTAACTGGAATTTAAATAAAAACTTAAAAAAAGAAACATCTTCAATTAGTTACTCAATTTTCAGCAATTTCAACGTCCATGAAATTACTTAAGGTGATATTGTGTGTGTGCATTTTGTCTTCCCTGTAAGATTAGGAACTCCCCAACAGCAGAGATAGTTTTTGCATGCAAGACATAGAATATATAATGTCTCCTCCTTTTTTGGAATCTCTCTTGGCAGTGTCTTGGGTCCTGAACACAGGATAGAATCAAGAGTTGGCCCTCAGGACCTGGTTGACTTAACGACTTAGGTCCAATGTTCCAGGTGACCAGCCACGTGCAATGGAACTGACGTTTACTTTTTTGTGTCTTCCCTGGCTTCCTTCCCTTTGTTCCTCTGACAGCTTTTGGTCCATGGCCTCTTCTGAGCATCTTTTTGATGTCATTCACCCTGGAAGTATCTATATTTCTGACATCATTACTATCTATCGATCTATTTTCTAAGATGAGAAAAATATTTCTCTGTAATGAGGTTTACTCCGAGTAGCTTTTGAAGACAGAACTAGACACAATATTTGTAAGACTGGGGAAAGTAATTCCTAACACACTATAAGGAAAGAAACTCAAATGTCAGAGTTATTGAAAGGTGACATCCACCCTCACTGGAGAAGGGTAGTACAAAGCTGTTTTATATATCAGACTGGAATTGAGCTAGATGATATTCAAGGTCACTTCCAATTCATAGAAATAATTTAATATTAAAGAGTTTCAAATTCCTCATGTTCGCAACTGGCAACAGTAATATTTTATAATAAAGTATATGTCCAAGTAAGGCTGACTCTAGAGAATGTCCTAGATTTAGACATTTTGTTATAATTTTATTAGGCAATAGAGATTAAAAGAAAAATCAGTCTCAATTACCTTGGGAAGATATTTTTCCAGTGGCAAGAAATGAAAATTCAGAATGAGATGGAAATTTTTATGTTATAAGTGAACATCTAAGAGTAAAAAGTTTAAGTAAGCATCATTGTCTGATGGGAATGCTGCTTTCCTGGTCTCAATCTTTTCCTCCATGAGAAGAGGATTTAGTTAAGGCACTCATTTTTTTCCCACCCTGTTTCAGTTTCTATCCCAGGGAATATGAGTGTCTTATCTGATTGGTAAATGTAAGAAACACATATTTGGCGTGTATCAAAGCAAAACTGGCACCAGGCAAAGTGAAACAGGCAAGGAAGACCTTTTTTTATTTATTTAAATTCAAGTTAGTCAACATATGGTGTAGCATTGGTTTCATGAGTAGAAACCAGTGATCCATCACTTACATACAACACCCAGTGCTCATCCCAACAAGTGCCCTGCTTAATGCCCATCACCCATTTAGCCCATTCCCCCACCCACCTCCCTTCCAGCAACCTTCAATTTGCTCTTTTTAAGAGTCTCTAATGGTTTGCCTCCCTTTCTGTTTTTATCTTATTTTTCCTGCCCTTCCCCTATGTTCATCTGTTGTGTTTCTTAAATTCCACATATGAGTGAAATAATATGGTATTTGTCTTTCTCTGACTTATTTCACTTAGCATAATACATTCTAGTTCCATCCACATTGTTACAAATAGCAAAATTTAATTCTTCTTGATACTGAGTGATATTCCATTATATATATACACATACATACATATATACACATCTTCTTTATCCATTCATCAGTCAATGGACATTTGGGCTCTTTCCATAATTTGGCTATTGTTGATAACACTGCTATAAACATTGGTGTGCATATTCCCCTTCAAATCAGCATTTTTTAATCCTTTGGATAAGTACCTAGTAGTGCAATTTCTGGGGCATAGGCTAATTCTATTTTTAATTTTTTCAGGAACCTCCATACTGTTTTCTAGAGTGGCTGCACCAGTTTGCATTCCCACCAACAGTGAAAAGGGCTCCCCTTTCTCCATATCCTTGCCAACATCTGTTGTATCCTGAGTTATTAATTTTAGCCATTCTGACAGGTGTGAGGTGGTATCTCATTGTGGTTTTAATTTGTATTTCTCTGATGATGAGTGATGTTCAGCATCTTTTCATGTGTCTGTTGGCCATCTGGATGTCTTCTTTGGAAAAGTGTCTATTCATGTCTCTGGTCCATTTCTTCACTGGATTATTTATTTGGAGGATGTGTTTGATAAGTTCTTTATAGATTTTAAATACTAACGCTTTATCCAATATGTTATTAGCAAATATATTCTCCCATTCTGTCGGTTGCCTTTTAGTTTTATTGATTGTTTCCTTCTCTGTGCAGAAGCTTTTTATCTTAATGATGTCCCAATTATTCATTTTTGTTTTTATTTCCCTTGCCTCCAGAGACATGTCTAATAAGAAGTTGCTGCAACCAAGGTCAAAGAAGTTGATCCCTGTTTTCTTCTGTAGGATTTTGATGGTTTCCTGTCTCACATTTAGCTCTTTCATCCATTTTGAATTTATTTTTGTGTATGGTATAAGAAAGTGGTTCAGTTTCATTCTTCTGCATGTTGCTGTCCAGTTTTCCCAGCACCATCTGCTGAAGAGACTGCGTTTTTCCATTGGATATTCTCTCCTGCTTTGTAGAAGATGAGTTGGCCATATATTTGTGGGTCTATTTCTGGGTTCTCAATTCTGTTTCATTGATCTATGTGTGTGTTTTTTTCTCAGTACCATACTCTCTTTATAATTACAGCTTTGTAATACAGCTTGAAGTGCAGGGTTGTGATGCTTCCAGCTTTGGTTTTCTTTTTCAACATTACTTTGGCTATTCAGGGTCTTTTGTGGTTCCATACAAACTTTAGGATTGTTTGTTCTAGCTCTGTGAAGAATGCTGGTGTTATTTTGATAGGGATTGCATTAAATGTGTAGATTGCTTTGGGTAGTATAGACATTTTAACAATGTTTATTCTTCCAGTCCAAATAAAGGAAGACTTTATTTAAAACTCTCAAAATAGGGAGAAAGAACAGAATTCAGTCTGAAAGAAAGGGTTTGTAAGCCCTGGGCTGAGCCAGAGGAAAAGTACCAGAGGACATTAGGGGAGTCATACACCATCTGTGTTTGCTAATTGGCTTTATGCAAAGGGAAAATAAACTTCCTGTTTCTTGGTGATAGAAGGCAATTTTGCAACTTGGAGCAAGGCACCCACAGACATTGGGAGATGGGGCACTATCTCATGTGAAATGATTACATTTCAAAGAGTTAGCTCCAGATCCTTGAGAAAGATAAGCCTAGGTTGAGAAACTGGCAAGAAGTTTTTTAAAAGATTTATATCTCAAAGAGGTCGAGAAAGAATTCACAGTTACAAGTTTTCTAATAAAAGGAATGTTGGGGTCCCAGATTCAGGAAGAAGGCTACCATTTAATGCAAGCCGAGGGGAACTGTTAAGGTCATCTTGGTCATCTGCTTGGCTCAGTCCTTGCCTGCAGTGGGAAGAAATTCTCTGCATCTCTGAGCCTATGGAGAAGACAGCCTCATTTTCCCTCCTTTGACTTTCCCTCCTTTGACTAAACCACAACCTTTGTCCATATAAAGGTGGCCTCTCTCTGCCACCTTATTGTCCTGTTTCTCAGGCCTCCTAAGAGTACCCCATAATCACAACTAGTTTCAGAGAGCTTCTTGCAAATTGTTCTTTGACAGAAACATACTTTTCCCAAACCTGTTTCTCAAAAATAAATAAACATTTAAAAAATATTTAAAAAAAAACAACTAAAGAGCAGGAATTTAGAGCAAAGGAAGAGAAAAGACAAGTGGCCCAATTGGTCCTTTTATCAAAATCAACCAAGGGACACCTGAGTGGCTCAGCTGGTTAAGTGTCCAACTTCGACTCATGATTTCACAGTTCGTGGGTTTGAGCCCTGCGTCGGGCTCTGTGCTGACAGCTCAGAGCCTGGAGCCTGCTTCAGATTCTGTGTATCCCTCTCTCTTTGCCCCTCCCCCACTTACACTCTGTCTCTCTCTCTCTCAAAAATGAATAAACATTTAATTTTTTTTTAAAAAAAAGGAAAGAAAAGAAAGGAAATTTTTAAAAAAATCAACCAAGACTTCTAAAACAAAGGAGCCTCAGTCAGGGGAGATGGCCTTTCTCTTTATCTGGTTGTGTGGCTCACAGTGTGTTTGTCTGAAGTGGATCTTTCTTTGAAATGGATGTCATGGCAATCCAACCTTAAGTCAGGCACTTGAACAAAAAATGAAAAAAAAACAACTGGCAGGGTTTACACTACACTGCCTCAAGGGACTTTTCAAAGCCCGCAACCCAGACTATGAACTTTCTAGGCTGTTTATTTAGAACTCTATTTCAATTCTAGAATATTGATTTTGGCATGAGGTTATGATAATTTATTAAATTTC